AAATCATCTAATAATTTCTCCCGCCTAGGGACGGGCGGAGAGAGTGTCAGAATCTTAGTGACGAAAAACTCCCCCGTTCCTTCTCTTACTCTGGACCGAGGCCGCGGTGCCTCATTGCGCTTGCCCCGCAACTCCGGCTGAACATCAGCCCCAAAGGCCCTCGATTATGGTGGTCTATTGACTCTTTGAGGCGCGCGCGGAACGCTACGCACCGTACAATAAGGTGTCAAATTTCTGGCCTGTTTGATAATGAATATACTTAGTAATTTCGTTTTTACATCACTTACTAATTTATCTGAAAACTTACAAAAATGTGTAAATAATGTTGTGGAATTTGCATCGGTTTTCAAGAGCAAATTTAATAAACTGTGACTTTCTTTTAGGTCCCTTCGATCTGAACAGAAACCTATTAAAAAAAAATTCTATTATACTTAGTCGGGTCATAAGTTCTGTCAAAACCTTATATTTTTAATTTTCGATTACTGGCCAGAAATTCTTCGACTTATTTTAAAAATAGAACTTTCGCGCTTGTAGAAAATAAAAAAGAAATTATTTTTTATTCATTTTTAAATATGGAGTGGTCGAATAAAGAAGACAGAATCGCGGTTATCGCGTTGCACCGCTGTGGTTACGCGCCAAAAGACATTTTCAATATTCTTCAAAATTTGAAAATAACGTTACGGTTTGTTTATCGTACTATCAAACGATACACCGAAGAGTCAAGCTTCGAAGATCGTAAGAGAAGCGGCCGACCTCGCACAGTTCGGACACATAAGGTCATCAAAGCAGTGAAGGCGCGAATCGAACGAAATCCCGTACGTAAACAAAAAATCCTAGCTCTGCAGATGGGGCTAAGCAGAACCACTGTTAAAAGAGTACTAAATGAAGACCTGGGACTACGAGCTTATCGTAAAAAGACAGGACATTTTTTGAACGAGCGTTTAAAAAAAATTAGGCTAGACAGATCCCGCGCTTTGCTACGACGGTACGCGGGAAAAAAATACCGCGAAATTCTTTTTTCGGATGAAAAAATTTTTACTATTGAAGAAAGTTTTAACAAACAAAATGATAAGGTGTATGCCCACAGCAGTGAAGAAGCAAGCGCGCGTATTGCGAGGGTCCAGCGTGGGCATTACCCTTCCTCATTCATGGTTTGGCTTGGAGTCTCATATTCAGGCGTAACTGAGGTGTTTTTCTGTGAAAAAGGTGTGAGAACTAGTGCCGAAGTTTATCAAAATACTGTCCTAACAAACATAGTGGAACCTCTTTCTCAGACAATGTTCAGGAACAGGCATTGGATATTCCAACAGGACTCTGCACCGGCTCATAAGGCACGAAGTACGCAAGACTGGTTGATCGCTCGTGGAATTGACTTCATCCGGCATGAAGACTGGCCCTCTTCTAGTCCAGATTTAAACCCACTGGACTACAAGATATGGCAATATTTGGAGGAAAAAGTCTGTGCTAAACCTCACCCGAATTTGGAGTCTCTCCGAGCATCTCTGGTTAAAGCAGCGGCAGACATAGATATGAATGTGGTGCGTGCAGCGATCGATGACTGGCCGCGTAGATTAAGGGCATGTGTTCAAAATGGGGGAGGGCATTTCGAATAATGTAAATAAAATTATATTGTACATTTAATGACCTTTCATTTCATATATAATTTTTAAATAATTGTCAAAAGGCGTATAAGTTATTACATCAAAAGTTTGTGACAGAACTTATGACCCGACTAAGTATTATAGCTTATTTGTATGCCTATGTTAAGTGATTTTCTTAATAAAATTATGAGGCCTGAGTTCAGTAGTATACTGCTGATTACTATTAGAAACTTTATATGCAGGTATATAAGAATATGTATCTCAATATGTACCAATATTGAATCGTATTTATTTCGGTGAACGAAATATTTTTTTTATAATTAATTCGTTAAGATGCACTTTTGAATCGTCAAAATAGAATGCGGTTGTTTCCAACTAGTCAAATTCAATACTTTTATCCAAATGTCAAAAACGAAACTTTTCTATGAAAATTGTATGAAACATTGAATTATGACGTCATAGCATTTTTGCGTCAAATAGCTTACTTATTTTTAAAAAAATGAGCTAAAAAATATTTAAAACTTAGTGTATCGATCGATCGATGAATAAAAGTATAGTTATTTTTCAATATTTTATCGTATTAAAACGTCGAATTAATTTATTTTTGACCTAGGAAACTACCCAATTGTCTGTTAGTCTGTCGATTAGTGAGACTTTTTCAAAGCGTGTATTTGAATGGAGAAGACCGAGTCAGTCCTTCGTTATTGTTTTAAAATCATGTTATAAAGTCTATTTGCATATGAATCCACCTATATCGACTGTATTGTGATTTTTGCAACCACTTGTAAAGCTAAATCAAAATAACATTCGAAAAAGATATTTCTAAAAACTCATCGTTAGCATAGTTTTATAGAATAGAGTCAAAATCCATTACAGTGCAAAAAAAAACACTGCGCGCTTTTAGGTTTAGGCAAAAACATGTAAATATGAGTACAAACGATGGACCATGTACCTATGTATGTATTGATAAAAACCTCGACAAGTTTCGCTGATTCTATCGACAAATTCAAAAAAAGAATAGTGAATGGTACACCCCGCTTTAAAATATTTTTTCATACAATTTTTTTACCGTTTATACAGTTTATAGTAGGAGGTATTTTTGCTTCGAACCGGTCATACAGTTCCATGGGTCAAGAGATTGCCCAATGCATAAGACCTATTGTGATTTCAGGTTCAATAATATACTCGCTATTCTAAAATGTTAGTATATTTTTGTTTAAAGAACGATTAGGATTTTTTATTGTGTCGTGGGTACGTTTTCAAACATACACATCAGACTTAGACCCGGAACATCAACATGTAAATCACACAAAGAGATGTTTCGTGCGGGAATCGAACCCACGAACACGTTGTACGGCAGCCAGTTGCCCAGCCGCCGGACTAACCGTGCCGTGAATATGCAGGTATGTACGCTTCACCGCGATTTTTTTTTGTTTTTTTTTTATGTGATAGGTCGATAAACGAGCTGACGAATTACCTGATGTTACTACAAGTGCGTTGCCGACCTCTTGTGTGGGCTAGAGATTTAAGGATAGAGTGTTTGAGGTTTGAGGATGGCAGGAAGGGGGTGAAAGAATATAGGGGGAGGATTGAAGCTCCGGTAACTCACTCACAAGGACAAACGGAACGTAAGAGTTGTTTACTGAAACTTCAGTGATTATGCACAGGAAGAGCGATGTTTCATTAATTAGGACTTTAGAAAAGTGGTGTCGAAAGGCGTCCCGTAGTCCGTAGTCAGGTAGGTCAATATTCACGTACGTAATTTAATTACTGACAAACAAACATTTACATTCATTTACATTCATAAACATATATCAACTATATCAAATCCAACGACAAGTTAAATGTGTAGTCCAACCCTTATTAATTTACAGCTAAAGAGTATTTTTTTTTACTTTGCTAACTTCGGGATCAATCGGTGACAATAAAACCTTTTGCTGTTAGATTGTCCATTTATTGAAAAGTTGATGTAAAAGACCACTGTACTTTACCATTTTGATTAAAAAGAAATACTTATGATTACTCTTGCTATTTCCTGTGTAAAACTGTGTAGGTAATATTAAAAATTATAAATAAATATTATGTAGAATTGGTTATATCTATACTAATATTATAAAGACGTAAAATTTGTTAGTTTGTATGTTTGTGAGTTTGTATGTAGGAGGTAACCTTTGGAACCGCTGGTTGGATTACCAAAATTCTTTCACTGATAGATAGCTACAATGTTCCTGAGTGCTATAGGCTATAAAACATCACGCTACAGAGCTGAGCAGCGGGTGAAACCGCGCGAGAGTAGCTAGTACAGTATATATAGAGAGGTACCAAAAAATAATGACTGCAAAGTTTTTGTTTAGTTTCTTTTGACGATATTAATTATCTCAAACATTTTGCTCATAAAAAACTTATTTCCTAGAAGGCGTTCATTCAATGGAATATTTTAGGCGCACTTATCAAATATGACACTAATTATTCCTAGTTATATAATCTAAAATAGCATAACAACATTTTTATGTAAATTCGTTATGAATAAATTAATATAGTTATACTACAATTAATTATTATAAAGGTTATAAGTACTGGATTGGATTGGCAAATTCCCACTATTTTACGGACAACGTCTTAAGACTTAAATACGTTTTTGTAAACAAGGAACCATTTGATAGTTGTACGAGGTTGAGTGTGGGTTATAAGTGTGTATACAGGTGGAAGTTCATTGCCTAAAATATTGTATTTACTTATAAACAAAAGATGATAAAATTAACAGTGACATTTGTTTAATTTTGTTATGATTTATATAAGCAACTGGTGAAGTTTTGCTACATAATTAAATTTATTTAAATTACAACGTGATGTAAACGATAGCTTTGATTTACAATGCCATAATTTGATGACAATACAAATATTTTGTACATATACAGGTAGAGGATAAAATGTATTAACAATAAACTTCCCTTGATATTATTATGTACAGAGTCGCGTGTTATGTTGCGTAGGTTTTATGAATAGATAACTACGAACTTTCTTTTTTTAAATAGCACATTTGTTTAATGTAGTTTTTTCTTATTAATGGTGCTATTTACATGAATTAAAATGCCTAAGAAATTGATAATTTGTGATAATAAGAATTTGGGCATAGGCACATTCAGTAATAATACTTTAATTTGCTTGGTTGTAAAACTTTTTATGTAGGTCTAATAACACATGTATACATTCGTACCTTAACGTTTATTTTTTTTTTTGTATTTTTATTCATCTTCTAAGTACAGATAACTTTTCAAATACAAAAATAATATAAGTATAGATAACAGTAATATTGAAATCTAACTCTAAAAGCTGGGAATATTTCCTAAAAAAATGTTTTTATTCTAATTTAATTAAAAATAATAAATAGTATTTATAATGTCACAAAACCATTACACTGGTGTTAAATCAGTGGATGAGGATGTCGAAGGAGTAGCTGAGAATTCCAAGATATCGTGGACGCTATTTTTAAGACAGGTAAATATTTCTTGAATACTAACTTTTTGTCATTAATTCATCACTGTGGATTTCCTCTTTATTATTCATTTTTCTTTTGTGCATCCTACATTCATCTGCTTTTTATACTTCTGATCCGGGGTTGTCGTTCTAAGCGCTAATAATGCATAGCATCTCCAGCTCGGAGCAGAAGAAGGCCCCAGTTGGTTTTTTAGTCAGTAAGAGTCTGACATTTCCTCTGGCCTCACCCAGGGCGAGAAGTCATTGGATGAATGATTAAAAATATAGGTACCCTAGACTGCGATGTTAGGTACAAGGCAATTTTGACCACCTTGGCTTCTTTTTCCGAACTATGTCCAGTATGTAGTTGAAATCATACGCTGTGTACTGTGTCCACGACTAAGCAGATGTCCTGGTTTTTTAACCTGATCCATTTATAACTTGGTATGAAAATACAACAAGGATATCGTTTACACATAACGTCACAGTCCGATAATGTGATTGTTATTGTCATTATTTTATTCATGATTCCTTGTCTTTGTTTGGGCACAACAGTAGCATAAAGTTTCGTTATATAAAGCTTATTATTTGCTGCAGACGCTGGCAAAAGTGTGCCGACAATTTGGCGGTTTACCAATACATTGACACAAATTAATTGTTTTACACCATTTTCTACTCTGAAACTTGAACCAAAATAATCTTTAGTAAAGTACCTACCTACCAAAATAATCTTCCCACTATTACTCTAAACTATTTGAATAAAGACAGTAGTTAAATAAATAGTAAATAGCAATTGTGCTTTTTTTTCCGAGTTTTACATACTTATAAAATTAATAATGCATTAGGTTTGTTTGTTGTTCTGTTTTAGGAAGAATTGTAACCGCTCGTGGTTTTCACATAATCTAAACATGTAATTATGGAATTCCTCAATTTATATTTTATTATGTAGTTAAGACAGCTCATTCAATCGCATTCCTTTAAAAAGATAATGTTTCATTACAAATTAATCTCTATTTCAATTCCGAGTAGGTATGGTTTATTTTCATTTTTGTTACGTTTCATTGTTTGTGGATTATTTGTTAGTGGTGTTACATTTCGTACGCTGTTGAATATGAAACTATAAATAGTGGTGTAATTTGGTACCTTCAGCATATAATGATGGTGAAATTCTATGTATTGTTGAGTAGCGTACCCGCTGCATCGCCGGACATTTGTATGCTATTTTATTTTTGTAATATTTGACCCAGTTGTGTTATAAACATAACAAAAATATTCTATTTTCGTTTTGAACTCTTGTAATTTATAGCGAACGTGTTACAACACATTGGGCGCTCTTCCAAGCTTTGTATTTTTAGGAAGTGAGAATTACGAAAATCTATATTTTTTCCTTGGAAAGGAAATCCATTTAGATAGCCAGTCATGTAACCATTGCACTAATGGTATTACGTATTTTTGGTGCATCGTGCAACACCAGGTGTTGACAATAATTTTTTATTTATTTCTTCATAATATAATAATACGGCATATTTAGTTTGAGCTGCACACATTTCTACTTCTATTACTATAAAGTGTTGGAATTAGAAATAAAGATACAATATTGTGCAGAGTAAAAATATCGGCTATTTTGTACCATGAAACTGGTTGAAGATGTTCGGTGACGCCCATTTTTCGCTTCTCATGCATTGATTTTTAAAGCAGTACGGCAGCGTTAGGCTGAGGCTGTAGTTTTAAAATTCAGAATATATTATTATCTGTTGAAATATGTCACGTGCTTAACTGCCATACCGGCAAAATATCAATAAAAATGATCGGAATTTTGATAGCTATTGTGCTCCATGAACTGACCCTCAGATGACAATGACGGTCCACTCAATAAATTCAGACACAATTTTTTACGAAAATTCAGCATAAAAATAGTTTGTGAGTAGCAATTAGCAGATTGATAAACAAAGGACATTGACCTCACGAACAGCCGCATTCAATTAATACATAGTTGGCTACTATCAAACGTTTTTAGTTCACTTATTGAGACGTTTTTTTAATAATTGATGTACTCCTTTCTCTATTTCTTCTTAAAAGATCCGCAAGACTCTTGTAATTACAATGGTGTTGCGGTTATCAAAGGACGGCACTGATTTTTGACATTAGATGATCCATCGACTAATTTGCCTACGATTTGAAAAAATTGTTCCATGCCGATTTTCTGTGAGGTCTTGGTATCACACCGGTCGAGCCGACCTATTCGTGCCGAAGCTTGGCTTTCCCATGGCATGGTTTTCGAACCCTACAAATATGAAGTTCTTCCTTACAAAAAACAGTTACTAATATGAGTTGCCTATTTCTATGTTACAGTTATTCGTGGTGGGTGGAGTATGGACGATATATTTCGTGCTTGGTTTATGTTATGGGGCGCCCAACGTCATCATACCACAAATACGGAGGGAGGCTAACTCTACTGAAGCTGTCAGTGAAGATATGGCTTCTTGGTTATGTATGTATTCCCTAAAGGCACTTAACTGTACTGTTCCGACTGCACAGTTGGCGTGGTAACTGAGCAACAGGCTGCGGCGCAACGTGTCGCGGGTTCGATTCCTGAATAACTCTTTTTGTGATCAACAAATTGTTGTTCGAGGTCTGGGCGTGATGTGTATGTGAAATTGCATGTTTGTAAAAACACCCACGATACAGGGGAAAATTCTAGTGCAGGGAAGAGTTTATAAAAAAAAAACTGAATTTAGCAATCATCAGGATCAACCTTATCAAACGTAATACTATTTTGTTATGGATTGGGTGGCAGACGGATCACCTGATGGTGGGCAATCAGCGCCGCGTATTACATCTGCAACATCAAATTAAAAGACCGTTGTCGACTTTAAGAGGGTTACAGATGTGGGGTGATTTAGGCCCAAGATCACCCTACGTCGGTGTTTCTTTAGGCCATGGTATCACTCTGGATGAGCCATGGTATCATTAGAGCCGAAGCATGGTTCTTTTACACTATTTACTCATTTACACCAGTTAAGAGTTGTGAGTCCCATAAAATGAGAGGCCCAGTATCTTACGTTTATCTGTTTTTTTTTTTAAATCGGAAATGTTAACAACATTTCAACATTTTATTAGCTTGACCAAGAAATCAGACTCAAGAAACCTTGCTTGGCTTAGAAATATTTCGTTTATTTTATAAACAAGGCATTCTAAAAGTCGTTAATACACTTCAATAACAGTCTCAATTTGCGCTTTTGTTTATTATAAGTGGTACAAAGTACCTTGTTGTAATATTAATATGAAATGTCTGAGAAACGAAATGCCAAGGCAAGGTGATAAGTAAAAGAAAATAGGTTCTGTGGAAGCAACAGTAGTATTTTAGTATCAACAGGTATCGTTTAGATTAGATGTAGAATTCTAATATTCTCTCTAATTTAATAAATCTGTACCTTTATGTTGCAATTGTAATAATCAAAGAAACAAAAACAAAGATAACAAGTATTCAATGAAATATAAAATCATAATTTCCTTTCAGCATCAATCCACGGCTACGCAGCGTTGCCATGGATACTCATACTACCGATACTCTCCCGGCGGTTCGGAAGAAAAGTGCCGTTCGTTATATTGTGTATCAACACACTAATTGGATACGTCGTGTTTTATTTCAGCACTTCAACTATTATACTTCTAATTAGTGAAATAATGCAAGGTATGCTGATCGGCAGCAATATGACACTGTTGATAGTTGTTGTCACTGAATACACCTCGCCGCGATATCGAGGTATTTTTATGACAGTTAAATCCACCATATTCTTTTGGGGAGTGTGGATTGCCAACGCCACTGGCACCTTCAGCCATTGGAAGAATATTGCTATCATCGCTTTCGTATGTGCCATATTATCCTTGACTGCTTTTTTCTGGCCGGAATCTCCATCATGGTTGGCACTGAATGGGCGTTTCGAGGAATGCGCAGAGTCTCATCATTGGCTGAAAGGCTATGACAAAGATTCTGAAAAGGAACTAGAAAACTTAATACAATCACAAAAGGAATATATAGCACGCTATAAAGAGAAAGAAGGATCGTCGAAGCGGTTTAAAAATATCCTAGAAACAATATCGACAAAGGCATTTTATAAGCCTCTTTTGTTGTCAATGACAGTCATGTCGCTATATAATTTCTCTGGCAAGTTTGTTTGTAGCATGTACTCTATCGAGTTAATTAAGAAAATAACGAAAAGCGAGTCCACAGCATACACGGGCATGCTTATTTTAGAAGCCGTTACTATCTTTAGTATGCAAATTGGTTGTGTTCTGTCAAAGTATTTAAAAAGAAGAACGTTATTACTTTCATCTTCTTCAGTTGGAATTATGTTTTTATTTATAATTTCACTTTATCTTTACCTTATAAAGTTGTCCATAGTAACGGAAAATAAGATTGTATCGCTGTTGTTGTTGACTTTATTTTCTATGACGATAAGTTGTGGGCCAATGATATTAGCCTGTTCTGTTTATGGGGAATTAACCCCTCTAAGATATCGAAGTTCATCTTTGCCAACATTAGCCATATTCTCTGAAATATTAATGGCGTCAGTATTAAAAGTATCACCATATATTTTTAAATATTTTGAATTACATGGTGCATTCCTCTTTTATGGAGTCACTGCGTCTGTTTTTGCATTTTTATTGTATAAATATTTACCGGAGAGCAAAGACAAAACATTGCAAGAAATTGAATGTTACTTTATAGAATCGAAAAAGTCTGAAGATGTTTCAGAAGAATTAATGGAGGAGAGAGAGAAAACATGATATTGTATTAAAGAATTTACAATTCGTGTATTAAACACGACATGTAAGTTCTTTAAACACTTGAAAAAATGTAATGGACATAAATGGAATTATATCGGAATTAAACTAACATATCATATTTGTACTTTTTTATTATTCCTAAACAAGTTTTGCCCCCACTAGGATTTTCTCCTGTGATGTGGGTGCGTTTACAAAAACACACATGACACATAAACCCGGAGCAACAATTTGTCTCTTTAACGAAAGCCCTCGGACTTTATGCTTGAATGTCAAACGACGGGACATCATCATGCCATCAGGGGAAGCGCATTTCATAAAAAAATAAAAACCTATAAAGTAAGTAATATTTGATGGTTGCATATTTAGACTTTATCCATCTCCTCAACCATCTTCTTGAAACACGTATGTAGGTACAGTTGGGAGTATGGAAAGAATACGATATCTGGTATGGTAAAATCACGAGGACAAAGCCATTTAGAAAGACGTAACTATGCGATTTTTTTTGTATTATAGGACGGAAAACCAGCAGACGTTTTGGCTGATGGTAAGCAATCGGCGCCGCCCATGGACTCCCGCAACAAAAAGGAGTTACGAGTGCGTTGCCGGCCTTTTACGGATAAGTGTTTCGGATATTAAAGGATTGGGAAAGAATGGGAGAAAGGGGAGTTATTGGGCCTCCGGTAACCTCACTCACACGGCGAAACACAACGCTGTGGTTGTTTCACGCTGGTTTTCAATGGTGTTATCCATCTCCTTGACTATCTTTTGGAAATACTGAGAAACAGTTTTGAATATGGAACCTATTATGGTAAAATCACGTGGAATAAGCCATGGGTTTAAATTTGAGATTGTGTGTGCAAGCGCAGTGGTGTGCCGCGGCCGGTCTAGAGATATAATGGGATGATTTTCTACCATAAAGGCGACGAATACATGTATTACTTATAAGAAACGTTTTGTGTCAGTTGTTGCGCATGTATCAACCGCTTTATACAAAAACTGATATCAAACTTGTTCCTAAGTTAAATTGTTAAAATTTATTTAACGTGCGTACCTGAATAAGAGTTTGCCTGTACGCAAATATGCTTAGGACAGGTTTGTTCTCAATTTTGTTATCAAACAAAAAGAATTAATTAATTTTATTGACAGCTCTCGTTCGCATCGCTTCGGAGAAATTTTACTTTGCCTTTATTCATGAGACTGATATTTTATGTCATTTAGATTACTATATGTATTCGTATTATGTATAGGTAACTGGTTATTGTACCCTACTTTGTAATTAAACTGTCGATAGATAGGTGAATAATAGACAGGTCTAAATTAAATACCTGTCTGCATCTACTGTTGTAACACCAATACGCTTCAAAATAACTACAGTATATAATATGTTACTGAAGATTTTTATATTTATTTTTTATTAAATTTTGTGTTGTGATTGACAATGAGAATATTTCATGATAAACCCAGTTGTAAATCATCGTAAATATGTAAGTATACATTTTTTATCATAGATTTAAATTGTTAAACAATTAGGTAAGGACGTTTATCATAATTTTGAAAGACGATAATGAGTTTTTAAAAAATGACAAAATAGCTATTCTCTTTGTGTGACGGACAGAAATTGAAAAAAATAATTAATAATTATTTAGAAAACAGCAAAGGTAAGTAATTTTATTTACAAGTAAGGTCAACGAACTTTATTAGATGTTATTATGTTAGTATACTTATCGAAAAATTAATAGAAATAATAACATTAAACCGAATTCTTAAATAAATATGCTTATGTAGTTTAATTAAAGTTCTTCCAACAAGACAAATGAAACAATGAGGATATTAAGTCCAGTTTTAATATAATTGCTTTTTCTAGGGATTCTTTCTTGGAACGACAGCAAAGCTGAGGTTTATTTAGGTCAAGTGTTTAAATTGATATTCTCGGAAAACGCTGTTAACGTCATCTAGTTTTTATTTAAAATGTAACGTTTAGGTGGTTCTATATTGATGAAATAAAACCAAATAGCGAAAAATCGATGGTGAATTAATAGAGGGCTTTAGTAATAAATAAAGTACCCAAATAAAGCGCTAGCAGTTTTTACGTATGTAGACAGATATTTTAGTTAAGATTTAGCTTAGGAGACCCTCGGATGACAAATTTGCAGCTACGTGAGATCAATTAGACTCATTAATCTGACGACTTCATTTATTTTATTTTTTAAATTTTGTCCCTTCCCTCTCTCTACATTTGGTATCATCATCTGCTGGACATAGGTCACCCCCATTGCACGCCACTGAGCTCGATGTTCCGCTCTACTCATCCAACCAGCCAGTCCACCTACCTGAAGGAAGTAAAATGTGGTATATTCAACAGAATACTAGGTATGTCCTATTTAAGAATCTAAACGCCTGAGTTTCTACCGCAATATCTTCCCTAATCACTACATTGTAAAAAATTAAGTCGCTTTATCTGTCCCTATATTCCTGTGTATGTTTAAATCTTTAAAACTACTCAATGAATTATGATACAGTCTTGGGTATAGATAGAATGATTGAAAGGAAAGGTTTAAATGTATGATAACATTCATTATTAAATAGTGCGAAATTTAGTATCAGAATTGCACCTGTGCGAAGACGGGGCGAGCCGTTAGTATGAAGTATAAATTTAATAATTCAGTTGAAAAGCCTTTAAAAAACAGTAAGTTGCAGTTTACTTTACGAATTGTTTAAAATTTGTACTTCTACAATGATAAGAAAGTATTCGGAAGCAGGCGGAGTGGCTGTCATCGTTAACTTCCTACCAGTTTGGGTTTTTAGTAGTTTTGTGAGTCTTAATACTAAACACCAGTTTCTTGACTGGAATTACTGTATTTTTTTTTGTTAAATAATATGTGATCAAAGACAATCGCAACACATTTATATCCTTTGTCATGGCTGATCGGTAAACACGCAGACATGAAGACACCAGTAATACCATACCATATCAGGTGCGTTGCCGGACTCTTGTGGCTTATTAGGGATTTAAGGATAGGGGATTTGAGGATTGAGGATTAAGGGAGGGGGGTAAGTAAGGATTAGACCTCAGGTAACCTCACTCATACGGCGAAGCACAACATAACTTGCTTCACGCTGGTTTTCTAGGAGGCCGTGGTATCACTTCGGTCGAGTCGGCCTATTCGTGCCAAAGCATAGCTCTTCCACACTTATTCCTTTCAACATATATTTATATAAATAATATTGGTATATTGTTGTTGTTAATATTCTATATTATATACCTAATTTGTAGGTCCTTAAAAGTTTCAAGGGGCAAATAAAAATAAAACTAAATTATTGAGTCGCAAATAATAATAAATGCCTTTACAAAAATTCAGTCTGTAATAATATTTGCTACATTCAAACTACCAAGTATTTTCTTTTCAATACCAGTGTGGTAACGATGCATAAGTACCACGGGCTTTCGCAATACCCATGGTAACAAGTTTTTATGGACGAAAAGTACCCTTAATAATCATTTGCATAAATACATTGGTCGGTTTATTGTTTTCTATTGCACCACTATCGCAGTCCAACTATTAATTAGGGAAATAAAGCCGGGAATGTTACTGGCAACACAGTAACAGCTATAGATATGTAACGAATATCCTGCAACTATCTCGTATTCGACCAATAGTATAAGCCGAATATATGACTCAGAGTGGCTTAATATCAAATTGCGAGAATTTCTCGTTATTAATATAAAACCGTCAGTCAATATTAAACTTATTTGAACATAGATTTGATATCTTTTCAATTGTGTAGCGGCTCGAATATAAAAGTATTTTGTGAAGCACTTAGCCGAATATTTGATAATAATACTCGGCATTACCTACTAACGTTATTCGCAACGAATTAATGGTGAATTCTTTTTTACGATGGATATTTTTATCGAATAGAGTAGATAAGTGTTTTTTATTGAATAAACATTTCTATAGTGTTGTGACACTGCTGTAGAATGTTGTTTGTCTTTTTGTTCGACACTGACCCGAAAGGTTTAAAGAATGTGCTGCGTCATACCTCTGCTTTTACAGAGATTGGAAATAGAACTGGAAAATCTCGTGAGCCTACAAAAATACTCTTTGAAGCTGATTTTTCAAAGAAATGTTTATAGTATACACCATGTATGTATAGTGAACAAAATTTTGGGTGGTTTTACTGGACGCCCTATAGTAAATATGACCGTTTTATATTAACTACTGTAATATACAGGTATATATTGTACGTGGATGTGATGGACGGAACTAAATTAAATGATTCGATTTGAAGGCGGTTGATGAAATTAACAAAAATGAAAAATTTATCTATATATTTAATTTTTATTTTTCTACAAAAAATATTTTCGGGTTTGTAGGTGCTTAAAGTTTAACATCAATGACCTCATAATTATTATCTCGTTTTGTTTAAAATGAACATTGTAAAAACTGTTATCAGTTATATCAGTAGATATTTAATTATGTGTTATCAACATCTGAAAAAGGGATATACTTAGATTGTTTTTTTTAAATTTTTTTCATTCGTGGTTTAAATATGATATAATAAAAAATGAAGGGTACAAATATTATAAATAATTATGTATATGTGCACGTGTCGTGTCGTGTGTCGTGGTGGCCCGGAGGTTAAGGTGCCCGCTTCTCATGTATGAGGGAGCGGGTTCGAAACCTGGCAATGTGATGGCATTGGTAATGTGACTTTATCCGACTCATATGTACTTTCTATGATTATATAGACACCACTGACATACGGTGAAGGAAGACATCGTAAGGAAACCTGGACTTGTAATTTCTAATTATAAGTTTGAAATCGCCCATCCGCCTTGAGCAAGCGTGGTGATTAATACTCAAACCTTCTCCGTGTGAGAATAGGCCTTTGCTCAGCTGTAGACACTTATAATCTGGTGATGATGATATGTGCACGTGGATACACTATAATTTTCATTTGAAAATTTGAGTTACTTAGAAACAGATGGCTTTATATTTTTTGTCATCAAACATTTTAATATACGCAGAATACGATTATGAACCTACGTCGTATTTTATTTCAATTCTATAATTAAGGCAGAAGTGTAAAATTATACTAAATATATTTTGACCAAATTTTTGAGGCTTCCAGATTCGGCTCAAGCATACTACACACTGAATGATTACATTGTAGATAAAGATGCTTGGAGACATGCTGGTCCTGCTCCACAGGATAGCAAACGTACACCAAAATAAATAACGTTCCAATGGATTTTGCTTGAACGGGACTTCTTCATTTTAGTGAAATTGCATTATATTGTATAACTATAACTTGATAAATTTGTAAATGTGAGTGCCCTGTAACCTATTATAATTGGTTAGACTAGCAGAATGTCGGTCCTTATAACAGCTTGGAGTTGTCATGCTCACTGAAAGGTCACACTGGCGGTGGCATGGGCACTGGATCGCTTAATTCCCTATAATATGGTTGAGTTGGGCGATGCTGGTGTACGTGTCATGCTCGTGAACGAGCGCCGTCAGTTGGGACTGGTCAGCTCCAGACTGTCTATTGTCCTTAAGGTTACTTTATTTTTATATTTGAATAAATATTAGTGTTACACTGTTCTCACATAATTGAACCAACTGTTTGTAAAA